TTGCGCTCTGTAGCGCCCTAAAAGATAACTGCTATCTTTCATGTACAATTTAATTGTTGACCGATTGTACATTACTCCTTCTTGTTTTAATCTTCCTTACAACCGGCTCGTGACTCGACAGCCTTGTAAGTTCCCGCGCTCACGTGTTCGCTCTCTTCTCGCTTCATCCGTCCGCTTCTTATTGTAGCCCATCGAATACAATCCGCTGTGTCCGACTCCAATTGCCTTCTGATATCCGCGCTTAATTTCGCGCACCGTCTCGGAGTAGTATTAACTAGTCCTACAGTGCTCCCCAGAGCGAAGGAACTTGCAAATGAACGGAATTTTGATAGTGTTACCAATACTATTGCCTCATGTAACGCACGGAGAGTGTATCAGTAAATTTTGTCAACTAGTATCTTAACAATACAAATACCTGCATTTGCATCAACCCTCTAAAATTAGATCATTGATCGTTGTTATATGAAACGAAATGTTTAACGGCTGTTCGTAATTGCGAGAGGGTTTCCGGATTTCCCGCTGTCAGGGGAGCAACTAGTTTACGTCCGCCCGGGCGGCGAAAGTAGTTGCTACACCACTGTGTTAGCATTGTCATGTCTGACTCGATCAACCTAGGATCCACTATGAATTTTTGCTGTTAACATCGCACTATTGCATATTGTTGTGTATGCAATGGGAAATGTCGCAAACGTTTTATCTTCTATTCGTTCAAATACGAGACCCGGGATGTTTGTAAAACACACCAATTCTTGCTACATCATTGCAGCTTGCACTAATTTTTGCATGTATTTTCTAGAATAAATTTGACTGTTGTCAAAATACAGTTGGAAAACATGTGGTTCAGTGACTGAGTGAAATTTTTACAGGTATCCAATCTCCTTCTTCTTATTGAAGCAAATGAAAACGAAATTCTGACTAATGGATAGTAAAATTGCACACTGAATGGTACGATGGCGCTAGTGTGCACACGCGAAGCGGAGCCACTAAGGTTACGTTCTGTGTGCGGGTGTAGCAGTGTAGCAATCCAGTTGGCTTTAATGCCTGTTATTTGCTTGACCGGCTTGAACCTTTGACTGAGACAGTTCTGGTGAATTTCAGTGATTGAGGTTGGCTACTTTTCATGGAAGAGGCCCGCGTTGCTTGACTTGTAGTCATAGTTGAGAGTGTGTCCTCAAGGCGCGAATCCGAAGGGTTTTTCTGCGATGGGATTATAAATGGAACAGACAGTATGACGAATAATATTTTGAAAACTGGGAGTCGAAATGAAGCCAAAAATGTGGGGGTGCATGGAGCAAGATTGTAACTCATCGTTATCACCAAAGACATCAGTGCGTTGAACCGACACTTTGTGTCGTGCAAACCATAATAATCTAAGGGATAATGAAAGATACGAGAAAGCGAATAGAGACCTAGTGTAGACGTAGAGCCATAAAAGCGCTCATGTTCAAAGTGCCTACGCCTCAACGACAAATATGCTCACACGAATCAAGCTATCATGCGAGGACAAGCGGTATCATCGAGACAGATTCCTTTGTGGTTTATGCTACTTCAAGTCAAAATAAACCACACTCCATAGATAACTCAGCATTAGACACGCTCCAAATAGAGGATTTGACAAGAAGAAGATAGCAAACGTGTCCCTGGTGAAGACTGCAAACCAAGTTCTGTTAAACCACGGGACTAGCATAAAGCGTCTGGGCTGATCTGCACACACACATTCACCCAGTTCCCAGAGTAAGTGAATTCACGAGATAGTCCCCCAGAATAATAAGACTTCGAGTATTGTAGATGGAGTCGAGATTGTGGAGCAACGCGTGAGTATTAGTAGCATATTTAGTGAGTTTTGCTTATTTGCAACCCAATTCTTTCATATTTTTGTAAAAATTAGTCCAGTGCGTACATGGGACAGCAACTGGTCCCCAGCACGTTTTGTGATGGAGCAACATAATGGATGGGACACCGGCGCAAAAGCTTTGAGCCTCATACGCCTCAGCAATGATTGCTAGTCTCCGGCCCGTAGCCTTAAGGATCACAATCCTGCGATGTAATCCGAGGGCGAAGGTTCGAGCCCACGTAGGTGACCGAGTGACCCTCAGAGTATCATTAGTCCACATGGGAGTGATAGTGGTTGCACGGCGGCGAAGTGTCCGGAATGCGTACCAGCGTACTGCTGACACCTACCTATCTCTACTGAGAGGAGGATACACATTAAGGAAAGGGGTTGGAAACTTGCCACTAATAGCTTCGGGAACATGTCAGACTGTGTTTGCATTTCTGGTGGACCTCAAGCCCACACAAATACACATTCAAGCAATCTGGACTACTCAAGAAATCAGTTCAGGATAAAGAAGTTTTTCACAACAAGCCGTTGCTTACAAAACCCTTTAAAGATAGACTGCCGTCGTTGACCCGTCCAATGATCATTCAGCAGTACTCGTGCTCCTATGGTGCACGATACGTGGGTCGCATGACGAGGCGCCTATCTCAGAGGATTCGTGAGCACATCCTGCCATGGTTTTACAAAGGCGAAATAAGGTCCTCAGCCAGCTCAATCATCTCGCACCTCCTTGAATGTGGCCATACATTTTCCGAGAATGACTTCAAAGTCATCTACTCACTACCTGAACACTTCTCCTGAGGATTCCGCAAACAGTTCTTATCCATCGCCGAGGCCATCCACATTCAGCATCTGAAGCCGGAAGTACGTGTACAAAAACGATTCATACGGCCGATACTACTACCTTGGCCAACGGACGCTGTTAAGTAGTTAGTTCGTTGTTGCGTTACCGACCTAATTACGCCAGACTACTGAGCTTTGGGTATGCATGTTTATTTAGTTCACTTGGCATACCATCCATATCCCTGTCCCAAGTTATCAATTTTGATCGTTCAAACAGTCCAGAAGTTATCCCATCCCGAGTTGACGCTTTCCCCAAAATCAGTGCTATGTAAACGTTTGGGCCCGATGAAAGTTTACCCAAAAGAATTCTTTACCTTGAACTGATTTCTGATATTAATTCATACAAATGAAATGGGAATATTTGCTTTTCTGAAGACCAGCATTACCCGTGATTCACTGATACTCCATATATATGTTGAGCCTACCATAGCAATGACCAGATCACTGATGACCGTTTCAGTATGTCCCTTACAAACATGGCACTGGTCGTAATCCGACTTTCGATGAATCACTAAACAGTAGGTTGTGTGAGCATAGAGATTCCCAGTTGCCATGAACGAGAGGAGAGTCGACTCAACAGGACACCTGGGAACCGTAAATGTCTAACTCAGTAGGCAGAGGCTAAGGTACATCGCAAACCGTTAGGAAGCGGTTGGCAAAATGTGTGTAACACTACTTGTACATGATGCTTAACTAGTTGGAGCACACAAAATTTATAACATGGCATCGTGGATGACAGGAAACCTTTCATTTGTAACTGCAGTAACCACATTACTCCCTGACCCCCGTTTGACTCATACACCTTAGTGTTTGAATAGTTGGTGTGTAAAGAAGCTGGTGGTTGTTGGAAATTTTCATCCACCGTCCGTCATGAGCTCACTTTCTTAACATAAATGGGTGGTCTGTGAACCGATATTCGTCCACATTGGTTCTAGTGTTATTTGACTGATAACCAGGTGACCACCTCAGAACCCTGACCTTCTTGAACATCGCAACCGAATGTCACCATCGTAAAACAGAGGAGAATTATTCAAATTTACCTTCACAAGGAACATTGCAAACCGGAAAGTGGGGACGCACCACTCCTTTTAACTCTAGTCCCTGTTGTCATAAAACTGAGTCCTCCAACTGAAGGCAACCACATGGCCCAATAGTTTTGATACGTAGTACAACTTATGGTGTTGAGATCTGGAACTGAGCACAATTCACTTCAACTCTATGGCGTAACAATTTAGACGGCTAACTTGTAGCCAAACTGCAGGTCGTAACTCATGGCTGCCTGCCATATCCGCATTTCTTTTCACTGAAACATTTATCACTTACGCACCCATCGCTACTGCAAAAAGAACTAACAACGACGACATACAATGAGAGAAAAGTAAGCAAAGACACAAGCAAAATCAAATGCGCTGGGATGAAACTGATGCTAAAAAGTCGTTGGATGCAGAGGTCGGCTCAGTGTCATTTATCCTCCGTGATCCGTGTGGGGAGGTAAAGTGAATGTCACCGTAATATCTGTGCCCAACGACGGCAGAAAAATTGCGTAAGAAGGAAAGAATAAACTACAGTATATGTCGGAGAACTTGCCAGAAGCAAGCTGTTATCACCGGGAGGCAAATTAAAGGTTGCTGGCATGGGACCCTAATATATTTTGTCTCGAGTTTCGCATCAGAACAATAGTTAGCAGACGTCAACGATCGAAGTCACAAATCTTAAAGGTTAAGTATTAGCTGCAACCACGATAGACTCCATCGAAACCACAAGGAACAGAAGTGCAATCATGCTTACCTTGGTTAAGGCTGGTGCCATTATATCATTGCTATAATTCACTTGTCGGCACGTACCCTAGAGGTAATCAGCTTGTCAAGTAATCTTGCAGCGCAGGTTCGAATCAGCGTAGGGATGGGCGTCCTCACAGTATACCCAGCGCGCGTGCGACTGGGGGTGGTCGCACGGCAGCGAAGCGCCGTTGCGGCTTGCAGCTGAAGTATCATTATTATTATTATTTTATTATTATTAGTATTATTATTAGCTAACGCGAGGCACTAACTTAGACGGATTAGCTGTGCCGTTTGCTCTCATGGGGCACGCGTCAAGGATGGCCGCTTAACTGGGGCTTATGTCCTAGTTTGGCCGCACCCAAGCAGTTGTACGACTGTGATGCTCATGGCAAACGTTTTAGACAAAAAATACTAGGACCCATCAACGCTAGCCTTTCTGGGTTAATATGATTTACGGAAACGGACCAGGAGAATACCGCAATGTGGATAGGGTAGAGTGAACAACGTTCGCGTTGGCAATCGCGAGCCAAACAGATAGCTCGACTTTTCCACGACCAAATCGTGTGTCCGCCTCAGTGTGTTCGATCAAGCGGTCGATCGAGTGAGTTTTTAAGAAAGCGCATTGCACCGGAACCGCAGAATCGAGAATACAGCGCTTCTGTGCTGACCCGATGTGTCTTTTTTGACGAGGCTAGGAGACCCAAGCCCACAATACGGAACACTGACCCCATTAATCTAGACACCTTCCCCGTGAGGTTGTCATATCTGAGCAAATTGTCAAACGAATAAAGGCGGTACCGAACGGATAGTTGCTTGGTGTAACAACGTATTTGTCTGCTGATAACCTACTAATCATACGTTCGGCAATTAACAAATGCACTTACCAAGATTCCGTGGTTGACAAATCTAGTGGTACGCTTCATCTGCTCTTCAAATTGCAGCAAAGAGCTCGGGAACAGCGAATTTTCATCAAATCGGTTGCGAAGCGCTGAAAACGTTTGCATATGTATTGGAGTGAAATATCTTATCGGACATCGAAACAACTCAGTTTATTCAACTTTTTGGACTAGAAATAATTGGAGCACAATAAATTTAGGCATAGGCATTAAGCGGTCATGTAATCGGCAGCCACTTGGTAGGAAAAAGGTGGGCAGGAGCAGATCGACAAGTAAGACTCTTCTTGGGTGGGCAACACCCATTTTCTATCTGCCTCAGCTACGGTCCTCGTGATTGAAAGACCAAGGTTCACTTCAACGGGAATCGTGGTCAACATTGAGATTGTGTGTCACAATCCATCCAGACAACGTGTACTTCAAAATGATCCACAAAATCGAACATGGCTGCTGGTTTATGCGGCTAAAGTGACATGGAGCCGATCTTAAGACAGGTCTCCCGATGATGTCTTCCTTAAAATAGAGTGGGTATACGCCACTTTGGCAAACATCCACTTGTTCAAGGATTCTTTGGAAGACCACTGAATGTGTCCCAACTGTTGACTACTAAAGGTGAGCCCCAAGTCCTACAACGGTTGGTTGACCCGGACTTTTTATTATCGGTCATCCTGGACACCAAAGGACAGTGAGCTCAGTTAGAATGACCAAGTGCAGTAGAAATGAGAAAGGACAACATATTAGGAAATAAAAGTAGAACACGAACGCAAACAACTATGCGGAAAAAACGTTAACGGAAAAAAGTAGGTTCAAAAGAGCAACCGTTAGTTCGGTAGGCTAGGTGGTGATGGGCCGCATTTGGCCACATCATCAGCTTTAACAATGGACATCGTCTAAGACGTTGTTTAACCGTATATGTGTCAATATGGTAGGTTCCGCGTACAAACATGATCTGTATCAACTTGATTTAGAAATCAAACGTCAAGTCACAAGCATTCGACCAATCAGGGAACAGAGGTACCTGTGCTTCCTGTGTGTGGGGTTGGGTGGAAGTGTCACAGACAGAGAGAGAAGTGGAGGAAAGAGGTGGCGACTTGATACGGCGCAAGTGGTTCCGGTAAAAATACCAGCACCTCATTGCTTACGTAATTTGATGTGCTGACGTGGAAGCATCTGCACTGGGAGCGCACGCCTGGGTCTCGTTGTCATGACTAGCGAGCAAACACCTAGGTTGCTGCTGGAACAAATGGCGGCACATAGTTGCATCTTGTTGTGAGAGTGGCGACTCCACAGACCCTTCCCCGGAGAGTCAAAAACTGTTAATTAAAGTGGTTCACATTGTGTGAGTGAATTCACTTGACCCTAAATGTAAGTTTCTTGTCTGGAATCCATCACGATAACAACTGTTGGACTCAACTAGGCCTTGCGATTTACCCAAAATGTGTTTAGCCCACATGCCAGCAACTATTAAACTGTGTTTACTGATAATAGTAATAACAACTTGATATGGTATGAAAAACTTACAGGACTCATAGAACATGTTGTGTTGATCTCTTGTGTTTCCACGACCTTGATAACATAATGAGAAATCGGATTATGGTGTACATGTTTAGGTGAGCAGTTATCGATTAAAACCAACGCTACAATCCACACGGTCGTGAACGAATTTCAATGTCGAATTGGGCATAGGCGAACGACGCCAATCATACCTAATAAACGAAGTGTTCGAGCAGGTACCGCTGCCCCGTATTCAGAAAGTCACAATCCCCACACTCTGAGGCTAACCTGCATTGAACAAAGCTGATCTTTTAGCACACACTTCAATAGCCAGAATCAGTGACCTCGGTTCTAGTCTGAATTGCGAAAAGTTGTCGCTTGTGGCTGATGTGCATTCAGCATGGAGATACCGAAATTCAAAAGACAGTTGCGGCGGTAGTTCACCGAGCTCAGAAAACCACGAAGTATGAAGTGAAGTATGAAGCCAGCGGAAATTAAGCAAAGCGCCATACATATGGGTAATTCAATTGGACCGGACGATACGTTAGGCCCGCAATTTTATTCGATACTAATTGGTTCAGTGGCGGGGACCATTGAAAAATCGTCTTTTCTCAAACAAAGTTACAATTTCGCATATTATTGGCACTCTCATAAGTATTGCGCACCGCCTGAATCTATGGTATGTGCCTGTAAACGAGAGCCGTGTACGCGGGTACTTCAGTGCACTTCCGATAGTCACGGAGCAGCGATGGAAGCGAATCTGCACATGTAGGGACAAGAAACGACCTCTCATTCGTATCAGTGTGCACTGGACTTGGAAGCCAGGTTTTGGGATGGTGTGCCGAAGTGAATCAAAGGCAAATGCAGCCGCAAAGGATCCTCCCTAGCCTCGTACAGTACTCGATTTAGCATAACAAGAAGAATCCCATCTTTAAGAGAATGTTAAGCATTGTATTTATTCTATTCAGCGTGCAACATGCATACAATCTCCGTTTCCATCACAGTGTCTACATTTAACTACTTTTTGAGCACCACGTAGTACAAGTTGCCTTAATGTGGCTTTGTGAAAATTCGGGTAAAACCTGTTTTTCAGGCATTTTGACTTGCGTGAACCTCTTAACTTGCATGTAAATAGGTCCATCCAATTTTGGACGGATAGCTGAAACGCTGTCAGTTTGGCACATGGCTTGCCCATGTCAGTTGCGTCTCCTTCGCAGTTTCCCACAGATAATTCTTCTGGAATTGATCACGCCCGCAACAACTGGATGGTCCAAAATTTAGCGACTCTAATACGCAACTGGACAGGATTGAAACCCAGTGCGGCCATAGGAGAACACATCATAAACCAGAGGACGGAAAATGGATAGCAGATGACTGCGATTAACAGCGCAATAGATCAGGTTCAGGGCAGGACAACATTTACTTGGAACGAATTCCTGTACCCCACTACGTGATTATTAGCATTTTTGCACCTGTACCAACAATATGCTTCAACACTGAACCAATTGTGAGGTCGAACAGTTATCACAACCTTATATCATTTCTTGAAACTCACTCAGATGCTCACTCCCAATGTCAAGACCAAAATTGTTCGCATTTTGATCATCGCAGATTCACTTGTACATAATCTGAGCATGCCTTGTTGGTGTGCCTCGTGCAACACCGAGAATATAAGTTTATTTATTTATTTATCTACGTATAAAGAGCAATACCACTCATACACTTTAACTGTTTTCCAGCAACACATAGCAAAGTTCCTTTGCGTAGGTTCCTCTTGATACAAACTTGTGAATGTCAACTCTATCATGTATACCGGTTGCATATCAATACATGGAACACTAGAACCCTGTATTTAGCCGGCAAGTAGAGGAGCGGTTCAGTTGCTTGGTTTGTAATCTGCAGTTCTTGGAACACGCAGCTGCATGATGACCCCGGGGTTAGTTGTTGTATTGGGGCGACCTCCGAAACAGCACATGAACCAAAACCGCGGAATGGGCGTCCTCTCAACGAGCGATCGTGTGACTTCATTTGCCGGGATAAGTGAGGTATAGTTATATATATGCTCATTCTGATATTTCATCAGTTGGTAATGCGCCCATCATAGAAAAGCTGCCTCTGCTGAGTCGGATGCCTGTATAGTAGTAAAATACACATGCGGTCAATCGTCTTTGGATTATTAGTTTCTCGTTATGAGAATGGTATAATTAACTGAGCCTTGCCTCCCATTTAGCTGTAGCGCACTCAAGGCCAATGTATGCAGACACACTAATGCTGGTATTTGTATCAGTATTAAGGTGCGGGTCGATTTCTCTCTAGCTTCCCGAGCAGTACTCGTAAACCCAAAACACTCCATAGGGCAACTAATTCGCTTATGGACTATGTGGTCAATAGTAAGCGAACGTCCAAAACAGTCGAAAGTTAATAGCATTGTCAGCAGAGTAATACTAACCTGGAATGGTTCAGAGTTAATAACAACCTTTCTTTGGCCGTATTTTTACTAGTAGCCCATCGTAATCAACAGCTATGGTCATAATCGAGGTAAATGATTGACATGCTTCCTTGAAGAGGATAAGTCAGGTAACTGCAATCAAAAATGCCAGGTTCTTTTTAATACACATATGATTTTCCGCCAGGTAGGGCGGCTACTTTAGCTTGTACTCACTTCCTACACAGCGCAATACTTCTGCTTTCGTCCATGTCCAAGCCCCATAGATAACGGTGCCCCAGATGGAAGTAGAAACCGGGTAGCAAGGCTTGCCGGTTGACGTTTCTTCCATCGCACTGCTAACTTCGGTGGGCGACGGTTTACAAGGTATGCTTTTTGGAGTACGTAATGTGCGCAGATTTGGAATGCGTCATGCTATGTCAAGTTAAGCAGCGATTGGACTCTTGCATATGACAAGATATGTTCGGTAACTGGGATCCTATCCCAAGCAGAGAGATCGAGGCGCCACTAGCTCTCAGCACTGCACATCCCATCTTCTGGTATAGAAAACTTAACGAGGACAACACCCGGAACGTAAACTTTCCTGGTAAACACTTTTATCATTACGCAAACGGTTTACGTAAACGACCTTGGTCAGAAAAGTCATTAGTTCACAGACCCTGATTAAATCCACAGGTCTTATTGTCCTTACCTCACTCATCGAATTGAAGAAGAAGCGAGTGACGGAGAACAGCAACAACGATGACGTTACTACATCTGATTCAATAACACCGAATTCAAAGAAACTCGTAATCCAAGCTCAAATTTCGAATCGCAATCTAGACAAACGGCTGCACACTGAAAATCATAATGTACTATCTATAACGATTAACAATATTTGTAGACAAAGTTAGGTCGGCCTATCAGTAAATCGGCATAAGAGAATTTGCTTCAACTGAAAACAACTCAAACAACGCCACTTTATCAAAGGCAATCGCAACGGACACTGCGACCTGTGAAGAGGAATCCTCATCAGTGTAAATGCCAAAAAAAGTGTGCTTCTAACATGACCTACTTGACAACAAAGATGATAATTCAACCGAATTGGTCAGTGAATTGAATTCCTCCTTGTCGACAAAATAATCTTCTGGATGTTCCATAAAGTCTGGCTGTTCTAGTTCCTCTACCGGATCGAAGGAACTCAAATGTAAATACTATAAGGTAGAAGAATAGTGAACGTATGTATGAGGCCATTGGAATACTATCCACCGGCTGAAGCTGAATGCCTTTGATTGTGAGCTGAGAAAGTGATGTTTACCAACTTTGCGAAAATACTTTGTGATTGGTGGAGGCAAAGTACATGAAATATGTTAAAGCATCAACCATTAATCGAAAATCTTCAGTAGTACGCCGGTACGCAGTACTGACGCTTTGCTGCCGCCTAACTACCGTAAGCCACGCATAGGCTAAGGATAGTGCTATAGTTGCCAGGTTCCTTACGCAAACCCCAACCCGCGACTTCCGAACAACAAGGTAGGCTTGTGATCCTTTTCGGTCATGGGTCGAAATCAATTGCACACCAAGGAAGCCGACACCGAGTAAGGCAATATCATCGGCGTAATCTATGTCGGCTAGACAATACATGGATGGATTCCTATGTAACTTATATAAGTTACGTAAATATGTAAGGCCCGTAACCTTAAGGATCGCAAGCCTGCCTTGTTATCTGTGGGCAAGGGTTCGAGCCTGCATATGGACCTTGCGACTCTCACAGTATCTTTAGCCCACATGCGACTGTCGGTGGTCGCGAGAAAGCGAAGAGTCGGTACTACATGCAGGTGTACTACTGATGCCATTATCATCGAAAGTCTTTTTACGGTTTCTAATAAGAGATCTTTGATTACAAGGTTGAAGGTAAACGGAATCATGGAGCATGCTTGTAGGACAACATCGGTGACAAAGAAAAGTGCATAATGCTTACCATAGGCTATCACCCTGCATGCACTTTGCAGGTGCAGTGCCTGAAGTATGGGGACGTAATTTCAGGAACTTCGTTCTTAAGCTGACATTGCCATAAAATAGTTCGTCCACTGGGTCAAATGCGGCGCGAATGTCCGGGAAGGCAACGACAGTAGGTCTACCGTAAAAGCGGCGACTTTCGAGTTGACGAAGTGTGGACCTTTGGTCCAAATCTCCATGATCAGGGCCAAAACCAACCTGCTGTTCCCAGCAGGAGATAGCTTGCTCCGCAGGCTAACCCATGCCAGGCTGACGTGGGTACCCTTGCTTCCTCTCAGATGTCCGGAAACAGAGACATTGGCTGACTGATAACTACTGTGTCACCAGACTTGAACAATTCTTGGGAAGTTAGTCTGATGGCGCAGCATTAAAGCGCTCCAAGTATTAAATCTCAAGATAAAACTCCACCTGGACGAGTAAATCTAGTGACACTGCTCATGGCGTGCGATCGGGTGTGCTGAATACAAAGTTGGAAGTGGGAGAGCAGCTGAGCTGAGACTCGGAATGCTCAATCCATCTTTCCATAAATATCTGCAAGTCCGTGATTTGTGTCCCATCGGCTTCTCTGGTTGACTTCGCTGATACCAGACCTCATGTGCTCAGTGATCCGAATGAGTTGGAGAAGTGAGCAAGGGGTTCCAGTGAAAGCCGCGGATTACACTTCCAAAGCCCGTTGGGACAACCAAACTTTGGGATCACCGGGGGTTTCATTTGAGCTGTCGGTTGACAGTGCGACCAAGTTAACTGTGGTCTGAGTTTACTAAGAAAGCTCGGCAACAGTCGAACAATACCAGGGAGAACGCAGATATTCAAGCCTTCGAAGGCTGATGATTTTACTCAAAAACTGGTCAGAACGAATTTGCATTGTATATTGCAAGAAACCCCAATCGTGTTTGGTGTCATTTGACAGAACATGGGCTAATGTGTTTACCAATGATAGTTGATATTCTAGCTGAGTCAACTGACCAGTTAGTCTGCTCGTATCGAGCCTACGATAGTTTCGTTTCGGAGGCCCTCTGAAACGCATGCAGAAATTCGCTCACACTAACCCGTGATATGAATCGAGATAAGTAGTCCAAAATAATCTACAGTCTTGTATGCTACCCAAGATTTGAAACTGATTGCAAGGTGGTCTAGATGAGATCAAGGCTGATTTGGTGAAGCAGGCTGCCATTTGGCAGAATGCCTCCTGAAGTGCCTGCAATTTATGCTTGCGAGAAATGGACCGTGTCTTCATTTAAAGAGAGAAGCCTGGTCGCATTATCCGCTGCGTGGTGACTACCTAGGTAAAATTCCCCTGATAACAACTGACTGACTAGTGCACTTAAGTTAACGGGGAGGGAAATGACCTCCAATTTGACGGATTTGCGCAACAGCTGATGGAGTTGGTGATAAAAATCATCCTTCATTGTGTCACGGCTACAACCGGTTGCAGCTTAAGCGGAGACTACTATCAGGTTGCGCAGTTTAGCGCGACGCCCGTTAAAGGTGGAATGACCGTAGTCAGCTGTTAACCGGAAACCAAGCCGGGAGTGCGGCTTCGGCTTTGCTCTTTGGTGCCACCTAAAAGCCAGCCAAACCAGTTGCAGCTACATGCGCGTCGCCAGACAAACTTGGATTGTATGGGGTTTCCTGTTTTGCCCAAGATGTCAATTTAAACACAGTGCTGGCATCTTGCGACCGTGTTTCAGAACAGCAGTAAAAGATTTCGATCTGTATTAATGTCCGAACATTAAAAATTGCAAGCCGAAATGCAGATCGGAGTCGAAGGATAACCTCAAACCAAACTTCATGGGTAGTGTTGAAACCGGTATCTGGATTAAATTGTGAGGTACAGTGATTAATAACATAAAGGTTTGCATGTTAGAGAGTTTAGTAAGCGACGACGGAGACCGGGGTGCAGTGAAGTAGCAGCGGAATATGTGTATCGCTGAGGGTGCGATACCACCTGTTTGCCCAAACCGAAGTAGGGAGTTAACTTATGGTAACCCACCCAGAGCCTTTGATTCAAAATCCTACCCGAAAGACAGTAGAGCGGAATCAGGGAAGTGTACCCATTAAGAACCTGTGTCCGATCTCTTGGTTAACTTGCGTCTTGTTTGGTAAACTACCAAACACGTTCTACTAGTTCTGTCTCAAATTGACGGAATATAATCCCCCCTCGGAGTGTATATATATATATATATATATATATATATATATATATATATATATATATATATATATATATATATCTATAAAATCAACATGGGTAACGGGAAGAGAACAAAAAAGGGGAGAAAAGGCTGTCTCACAACACGATTGCCATTGCGTACGATTCCGGGCCATATCCGATAGCGGTGTCTAATAGGTTTGTGACACGCAAAATCATGAAGCGTTCCATATTTTTTTAATCTTTCTTCTGATTTAGTGGAATGTAAGTCTGTAGAAGCCTACAAAAATGGCTTAGATGAGCGTTGGCCTGTCCTTTTCCCAGTGATATTGTAATTGTCCTGGAATATGTAGTGTATTTTGATACTGACACATGAAAGTGCAAAGATTGCTCTTGTTCTTGCTTCATTCCTTTCCAGAAGCAAGAAGAGTCGATCCAACGTCGAAGTGGCGGCGGCCGCTTCACTAACCCGCATAAAAAACAGGACGCTCGTTAGGCGGAGGCCCCTATAGTCTGGTGTATCTGAGCTGACCTGACCTGAGGTGTGCTTACTCTCCTTGGACCCCTAACCTAACTGCAATGTCAGCCGTTTTCCAGCATGGACCCAGCTTGTGTGTTGGTTACCTCTCCATCGCTTTCAATCAAAGTCAGCGCATGCAAACAGAGCACAGCAGGGGCTACCGTTGAGTAGGCATACGGAGTACGTGCCTGAACCATCGGAGTGCTAGCAAGGAAACTACGCAGTTGACTGAGGCTGTCCGAATAGAAGAACCGACGTTGAGTGTTATTGATACTACTGCGATGCTGTCAGCGTCCACCGGGGATGCTCCAGAGGCAGTGGTGATTAAAAACCGACAGACACCGGATATCGCCCGCTTAAATGGGCCAGGCCCTGCAGCCGTGCAGAGGCACTGTTCGCACCGTAGCGTTGCGGACTCGAGATTTCAATGAACGGTAGAGATCACGCCAGCACCAGTTGTGTCGAAGTTTGGCGAAAGCAAACCTGGCTTTGGTGATACGCAAATTGATCACATCCGCCAATCCATTCACGCTAACGCAATTCCCAAGAGAAACGAACTTGTGGACTACTTCTAAAGAACAGCAAAAAGGGGTAAGGGTAGGAGCAGCTCCTAATCAGTACGGGAGGAAAACGCTCCACTTGAAAGGGGAAAGGGTCATTCCGAACTGTGAGACAGACATCTCCGACCTTCGCAGCATGTCCTGGACAGTTTGTAATGAGTCACAAATTAAGACAATGTCGTCAGCATACTCCAAGTCACGGAGCCGATCACCCGGGAGTCACTGGACGCCACCAGATCCAGTTTTCCAGAACACGTTGTAAGATATCAAACATAGCGAATTTGAACAATAAGTGTGATGCAGGGTAATCCTGTCTTATCCTATTGGTGTCAGTAAATGGGGGCAAGGGTTTAGCGTACACCTGTACTCGGGCCGAGGTTCGAGAGTAAATGGCTTCAAGAATGAAACAAGGGATATTTATTTTGTTTATTGGCGAGTAACATCCGTCAAGTCGCAGGGTTTTTAAACGGGGATATGTGGCTTCTTATAGGGTGAATGCTTGTCAAATGAAAACCGGCCACGTTCTGGAACACTGTATCCGAACCATTTGCTAGAACGGGGAGATCGCAAATCACCAAGCTGGTACCACAGAGTGGTTGTTCGGCGACAAGAAAAGTACGCTCAAATGACCAGGGACTTGCATAAAGTGAACCTCCGGGCACAGCAAACTTCTTGTTGGTGGGGGGGGGGTCGAAGAGTTGTGTGACTTTGAGGCCCAGGCTCTTGAACCCTTCTCTTTGCATGGAGTGGGACATTTTCTATCGCCCATTCTCTTAAGGGAACTACGTGATTAAATTGCTAATAATGTTTCGTTGCTAGCATGCTAAATCTGATTATAACATTTGACAATGCGAAAGTGATGGAAACCAGTGGACAGCCAACAAGTTTGATGTGCTTAACAGCCACTTGTTCGTGAAACCGCCCTGATAGCTAGATATAGATAATTTGATATCGGCTGGTTCCCTAGGAGATCCAGTCCGTACATTAAGTCCATTCTTTAACTCGCTTCTTAGAGTGTGCTTACTGTACAGCAGCGCAGTGCAATTACGGTCTTGGCGTGCCATTCATAATGACGAGTTGCTAACTCCGCCTAAAAGGAATTTGAAGGTCTTGGCGGTTTACGCGAGCCGACCAAGTAAGTCACAATGGTTTAAGCGCTTATTAAAGCTATGCAGTGAATGTCACTAATACTTGTTTGCAACAACTCTCACTTTACTCACATAGTATGGTCCGTAGTTTGGTCGACCAAATCGCTCGTGTGCCATGTGAGGCAAATCGGAGATGGTTTGTGGTTGTTTACGCCGACGTTTCTTCATTCGTGCTTCCTGATATTCCTTTCCTGGGTGACCAAAATGTAGCACATAAAAAGCGGCTGTTAGAATTTCAATCGTGCAGTCGATTAAAATGAACTTTAGGCAACCGCTAGACAATCGTTGTCGTAGTCACCTCCTAGTGGGGCGTATGAGTAAAACGGTTGGTTCGTCGTGAAATGAATATTGCACTGGCAAAAGAACACTGAAGTGTTACCTGAAGGCTCTCGGTGAGTATCTGCACTCTTGTACTGATCCGCCACCGCAGGGACTCTGGTAGTGCTCCGGTAGAACAGTTCTGATGCAGCGCAACACTGGTTCTTCTGACCTCAATTACAAGCCCGGAAGTCAGCGCAACCCATGCAATGCCTAGGTGTGATGTATGAAACACCATGCCAGGTGCATACAACAATCGACGGTGTACAAACGTACTGTCCATACTTTTCTTTCCAACAATTTACAGTTGGTACTAATGACAATGAGGGAGGTGGGAAAGGTCCTTCACTCTCATACTGCATCTGATCACGTTTCACCTGATACAGTCGTGCGCAATGTCGCTGAAGGGACCTGTAGTTTTCTAGTAGTTGCAATGGATAGTTGAATCAAAACGTAGCGGTAGGTCACAATGCTACCGGCCTAGTTCGGTGAAAGCCCACCCAGTTATGGTCGACGTCTATTACTTATGAACAGCGACGGTATCAGCATGCGCAATCGAAATTTCTCAAGAGGATCATAACTAAAAAATGCTGAACCAACGGGCATCTATACACGTGTGTTCCTGGGTCATTTGGATTATTCCTCTCTATCCTCTGTCCCTCTTCTCGCAGCGTAGTCACCGTACGCTCATTCGAACCAGATTTAGCAGCCCTACACAGTGATTCATCAGACGTGGAATTATCTTCTACGATCAAAGTCCGTGGCATCACTAACTGTTTTAACTGTCATCCTTGATTAAGCGCAAGAGGATACCTCAATCACATTGAGCCGACTGCTCATCTGTGTGACACCATTCGATACAGAATTCTCGAGACGATCCGAAAAGACTAGGTTTATTCCACTCCGTCGTTTCTCCACTCAGCTGTGAAGGAATTTGTGCTCTCGCAATATGTGCTCAGAGTTGTGTTTAGATGCATTTACTAGGTCCAACACCGCCTGGGCCTAACATCGATCGATCCACCGACCAACACTGAAACGCGCGTCTACAAGGGAGCACTGGTGACAGCGACCGCGCCACAATCGCTAACTCACGTTTATCGTTGACGCGGGAAACTGCACTAACTGATCTTCCGAGAAACGAGTCATCTTAAAACTGCAGGCCCCCCGTGAACATGTCTCATGTTAAGAACAAGTGTGAATTAGGTGTTAAATTGATGAAGAGTGGGCTAATGTGCACCACTTACTTGTAAGCCTATCACATCAAATACCTTGGGATGGCGCCGCTAAAAACGAGACGGTAAAACAGCACGACAGTCGTTTTGGTTCAGTCAACTATGCGGTGCTATCCCAGTTGTTAGCTGTCTAATTGTGCTGCTGAATAAGTGTGAAAGACTAACAGAAGCAGTCGAGCAACTGGTGAACGCCAGCGTTACACCTATTGGAGGAAACGGACCTGCGTTTGTATGTGAAAAATAAAACTCAAACTCTCCATGCAGGCTGAAGAAGAGAGACAGACATCCCAAACTTACCTCAACGTCTCAGTCTGCACCAGTACCAACTCATTTCTCTCTCTTACACCCTTGACTGCCAAACGCTATATCCCACACCCTCCGTGAAGGACCTAGGTGTACTCTCACGCTACGATTTGAAGTCCTTGGACAACACGAACAGGCTATATCGGAACGGACTGCGCATGCTTTGGGCGCTCAAACGTAGCTTCTGCACATGGTCTGAAGAGGTTGCCACTCGCCTGTTCTCTTCTATCATTAGACCAATGCTAGAGTACGGTTAGCCCGCCTACTTTCCGATTACCCGAGGCGAGGCACAAAAGATCGAACGGGTCCAACACGTTGCTACCAGGCTGATCCCGAGTTTACGTGGCTTTGGGTATGAAGACCGGTGCGAGAAACTAGGACTCTACACCTTGTCCTACCGTCGGGTACGAGTCGACCTCATTATGACCTACCGAATTCTACATCTCGGTGAGTTCCCCATGTTAAGGCCAATGCTGCACTTACGAGGGCCATGCAGCACACGCGGACACAGATACAAACTTGTTGTGCCGGATATGAAACGTGTTCCCCACCCACTGTGCTTCGAACGGAGAGTGGTAAACATTTGGAATAGTTTGCCCGAACATGTGATTGAGGCAACATCTGTGCAACAGTTCAAAACGTGGTTAGATTTGCATTTTGCCTCTATTCGATTCAGAGAACGACTGCATACTTACGATGACATATCACATTTGTGAATCCTGAAATATCGTAAGTCGAATATTTTAAATATTACATGAGAACGACAAGGATATTCACGGTTGACAACTATTATAATGTTTTTCACAATATTTCGAAAGAGTTGTACAGAATCCATTTCTACTTGCTCTATAATACAGTATTCAGTATTCTTTCGGAAGTAAAAACATTGCCTGCAGCGTGCCTGCTTCAACTTCTCTACAGTGTGTTACACCTGGTAGTATGTTCGCTATACAGGAGACTATAAATTACAGTCAACTAGTCATACTGAGGAACCAGGTAACATACGCAACGGTTGCCGCCAAGAACCCACCGGAAATAGTACCGGTAACCCTGATGGCCGGACTAGAGAAAACTGAAGTGTGGCAACATGGTTGGCAGCCATCAGTGCCGTTCACAAATTCACCAAAAGCAGAGGAAACTTAGTCTTCAAAATCAGTAGCCACCAGGCGCAATCACAGTGCCTTAACGCTTATGTGCACCAATGTCCCCGAATCCAAATCCGATAAAATTAAGGATAGGCTGACAGACTATCAGAATCAACAGTGTTCCATCTGTATGGCAACCGGTGTCCATGCTGATCCCACGACGTTAAAACGCATCCCGCATCACCCAAACGTATTGCACTAAGGTAAACCCCGGTTAGTTAGGATAACACTGAACTCGGTGATTGAGATAGAGGCCGTTCTACCATCTGCGGATCGTCTCCGCAACGCCTTAAGTAGGGTGCGCATACTACCTGAACGCCGGTGGAAACAACGTTCGGCCGATTCAACAAACAGAGAGAGGAACATAAAAAGTCAAGATAAGAAAACTGCGATTGCTCACAGTGACCCTGAGCTTACAGATTTTTCATCCGACAATGCTCAGGTACACGACCGGAAGCAATGGCACTACATCCGTGAGGCCCCTTTTCTCGAGAATGTCGTCGTCAACTCGCTGACAAAGATCCCCGTATCACCGAACTACAAAGGGTGCCGTCCCAGGCTGTTAAACCTGGTGCTACAATCAGAACGAAGTCATCCAGAGAATTGGAATAGGTTCCGCAGCAGATCGCCAACAGAAATTCATCTGAAAACAGCGGGAACACAACCACCTTTTAATGACAACTCAATGGGGGTGCAAATCTCAATGAAAACACCAACTGTACGACCTGACTCGGAGACGGTTTCAACAGTAGCCATAGCGCCCGAAGGGACACAGCAGACTACGAGCGACCACCGGGATCCGGGGCCTCTGATACTTGACTATATACAAAATTCGTCTCGAAATTCTGCAACCCAACCAAAAAACCATTCACCGCCGACCTTTCATCGGTCGGCCTAAGCTCACTTGCTTCATCCATCGCATCCAACAAAGTTTTGGTCTCCAAAAAGCTCTCATGCATCTACAAAAATGGGCAAGGCCTACTCAGAAAATTAGCTGAGCTGCGGCTTCGACACGCGTCACAAGTTTGGGACCCCATCGATATCAAGGAAACATGGTTAGGCTGCAAGATAACGAACATCGAAATCGCGCTAACTGGTATGTCCGTTTTCCGGAATGATCGAGCCAGCAAAGGTGATGTGGTAGCTCTCTACTTTCTTAACAACCTGCAGTACGAACCCGTACACGATTCGGAAACCGATGTACCTGACTCTAATTTGTGCAGCTTAGGGATAGGAGAGAGCGACTTTGGCCTAGTGGCTGTGGTTTACCGCCCGCCATCGTCCACACCTGAGATGGACTGCAAATTGGTGGCTGCGTTCAGCCAGGTGACGAACAAGAAGTACAATCACATTCTAGTCACCGGCGATTTTAAATTGCATGCTTTAGAATCCCAGGCCAGGCCAGGAGAGCAATTTAAAGCAGACCTGCAAGATCTTGTCTCAGACTTTCTCATTTATATCCACGTCACTTCGCCCAACAGATTCAGGGGAAATAACAGACGATCCATATTGGACCGGGTATTCACTAATGAAGAAGTGATGATCGGGGGAGTGACAATCGATACTCCTCTAGGCAGCAGTGATCATGCGACTTTGCATTTCATGTACAATTGCTGTGCTAAATGCCACGAGGACAGAGTTCAAACGACTCGAACCATAACCAGGTACGAAAGCTTCACCCTACTCGTTCAAGCGACCGACTGGAGTTTTCTAATCGGGGATGCACCGGACATTGTCTGGGAACTTTTCTGCAATAAGTTTAACACCTTTGTTAGTGGAGCATCGGAAAGCAAGACTAGCAGTTCGGGAAACCTTGCATCGTTTTTACGAAGTAGGACACGCAAACGCATGGTGATGCGCAACGCGACGTGGTATACCTACAAAACCGATCCGAGTCAGAGTATCTGGAAGACCTATGTTGTCCACCGTAATCAATGTATCCAATTAGTGCGCGAGGACAAAGTAGCTTATCAACATGCCTTAGCCAAGCGAGTAACTGCAAACCCTAAGCTTTTGTTCAAGCATGTGAACAGCCTCCGCAAGGTGAAAAGTAGATTTCCACCTCTTCAAACAGCGGATGGTCTAAAGCGGACTGCTAAAGAAGCGACGAACGTGCTGCAACAACAATACGCACCAACGTTTCATTGAATCCCGTAGTCTCCTTAGTTGTTGGAAACTCAAGGTGCTTCCAAC